CCGCGGACGCGGGCGTTCACAACTCTGTGTTTCCATTCACGTTCAACAAACACTTCTGCCGAGTGACTGTAAGAGTCAGGTGTCTATATTCAGGTTTCCAATTTCTCTCAGTCAGAAATGCCTCATGGGTTTATGTTCTCAAAGAGGCTGATAAGAAATTACTGGTACTCTGCAGTTGGGCCATCTTTGCTTCCTACAACTACTGTATCCACCCATAGGTTGGTTATTTTTGTTGTCATTTCCCATGTGCTGGATTTCTATGTTCTGGTTTTCTAAGAACTAGGTATCTATGTTATAGTTTTCAATTTCCCTCAGAAAAGATACCTCATGAGTTTAGATTCCCGAAGAGGCTGATAAGAAATTACCGGTACTAACAAATTTGAAAAGTATTCGGACACCTTAGTGCCAAGGCCACAGGTGCTTAGTGCAATCTAAAATGCGGTATATTCAACAAAATAACTAGCTATTGAATTTGCTGCTACCCGGCTTCTCTATCTATTTAGCCATAGAACTTGTTTCCACCCTGCTGTTCAATACATTTAGCCATAACTCCAGGAGACTTAAGTATCTCTTTATTAACCTCCTGAACTGTAATCTGCTCCCATTCCTGCTGTAATACCTTCTTCATTTCACTTACACTTGTAACACACTCATGCTCCTGCCATATTTGTATTCGTGACTTCAATAACTGCCACAAATGCTCAATAGGGTTAAAATCGAGTGAATTTGTAACGATCCCTCTCTGTATAGTTAGTTCTTGGCGATGGGGAACGATACTTATCGGTTCTGTCTCCTTCTTTCTTTGTCTTACGATAGCTCTAGGCCTCTACCTACATTACCGATAGTACAAGACCTCTGTCTTCTATCGGAAACGACTATCGTAAGCTTTCTCTAACTCGTCTTCGTGACGAGCGCTTCTTGTCATAATGGTATTGTTGCAATAAAGATAAAGATCGTAAAGGTATTTTATATTCGTTAAAGTAATAAGTAGGAAAAGTACTTAGAACAAAGCATGAAGAACCTATCTTCCTCGGCCGCATCGGCCTCCTTATATAGTGTTCTTCCTGCCTTTAGTCATGTGACCTAAAGTGGTCACATGTGCGAAACTAAATCACAACAAACTAGTCATGTGACCAAAGTGATCACATGCTCAAAACCCATGATCACCTAGCGAGATTATGTGCGAAACTCATAAACCAATCATAATATAATAAACAAGTCATATGACTCGACTAAGTCATATGCACAAAACCCATGACATCATAATGAGGTCATGTGCGAAACATAAATCATATGCGCAAGGCTTACCCGGAAGGCACACTCGTAAGGCATACTCGTCAGGCGCATGTCCCATGACTCATACTTGAGCCATGTGCGACAGCATCACAAATTCCACACATAACTAATCCTATAACCCGAATGGGTCATATGCGTGAAACAATAACATACCTGTGACTCATAACCATGTGTCATGTGAAAAACCCTTTCCTCGCTAAGCCATGTTCGTGACAGAATTGCAAGGCCAATCCACCTTCAGTATACCTGCTTTAACTCATTCTATGATAGTAAAGTCTTAGTAATGAGTAGGGATATTGTCTTCTATTAAAAGAAAATTGAGA